ATAAAAGCACAACGTTTTGTTGATATTGTGAGTGCACACAAATAAAAGTAGACCCTTTACAGTTACGAATGATGTATTACTCTTACCTTTATGAGCAAAAATGACGGTGTATCCACTGAAAAAAATGCAAGCGATCGTGCTGGTGCCTCCATGTCCCGCAAAGCACACTTTAGCTTCCACTCTCCGCACAAACTATTGGATACAGCGCACATTTATCTAGGTTTAACGTTTAAACATTGTTATATGTTTGAACCGTTTTATATCTATAGATTTTATTTTAGGCAAGTCGAATTGATGATTTGAGAAGGCTAAATTGATCAAACATAGGCTCACTGTCTGCCTCTGGCCGCTTGGTCGTTAATTAAAAAAACTAAAACTTATATTTAACAAATAAAAAATGCTCCAAATGTTTTTCTAAATTAACTTAATAAAAAAAACGAAACGAAATATAATCATAATAATTGCCATTACATACAAAACTGAACTATTTTAATAGCTGGAACAGTAGTATAAGCTGTTTTGGGAGAAGGAGAAAAAAAAGACGGGCTCGGGTTGGAAATTCTGTTAAGCTGTCGGACACGGGCTGGGCTAGGGTCTGATCATCTCGGGCCAGGGCCGGGCTAGGGCCTAAATTTGAGGCCCGTGCAGGGCTCTATTCCATACTGCATAGGGTTAGGGTTAGGCCTAATGTTTTGATGGCTGATTACAAAAACTTAAGAATGAAATGTAAACTCACCGTCCTTTTCTGTGCTTGCTGTGGATGATCCATGTGTGACGATGAGTTTGCTGTTGTGTTCTCTGCGCACAGTCACTCTACTGGCTCTGAAACACACACATACACATTCTCATGGCAGAACGTATGTATGATTCACTTAACAATAAGAGAAGGCGGAAGAAGTTGAGCTCACCTGCAATTCGGACATTTCCTCGGGCCCATGTATACTCTCCAGAAACTGTTAATGAGACTGGACTTTTTCTCACAGATATGTTTGATCTGAAATCAAAGCAAATTTATAAAATGCAACTAGAAAGTGCACAGAGGCAATAATAATACTAAAGTAAAAGATATGTAAAAGACCAAATAGAGAGATGGATGAGTTTCAGACTCACAGGAGCAGAGTGCTGCTGGTCTTCACTGGCTTTTAGGATGGGTGTAATGAACGCCTCCAGAGCTTCTTGGATTTCTATTCCAGACGGCTGAGCATTGGCCTCCACCAACTTAGAGACACAAAAACGCAATATACAGTATAAGCCCATCAGTCCAATGAATGATGCTGCAGCCTCTCTCTACAAGATAACTTGCATTGACCTAAATGACAAGCTCTTCAGTATTTTCTGACCTGATTGAGAACGGTCTCTAGCTCATACACCTCCTTCATCGCACCCACGTCCAGGAGCTTCAGCTGGCCCAGCAGCAAATGAACAGCCGTTCTCGGACACTTCAACATATGGCATGACAGGCATGAACCCCGGATGAGCAAATATAATTTCTGTAAAGACAATGACGTTAGTGGTTACACAATATATATATATATATATATATATATATATATATATATATATACATATACAGTGGTGCACACAATTATTAGAACACTAGCATTTTCACCAGCTAAAAAATGGTTTTAAGTCAGTTAATTCTAGGCCTGTTACGATAACAACTTATTGATGTTGATATTGCCCCAGAAATAATTGTGATAAGCGATGTGTGACCCTGGACCACAAAACCAGTCATAAGGGTCAATTTTCTGAAATTGAGATTTATACGTCATCTGAATAAATCAGCTTTCCGTTGATGTATGGTTTGTTAGGACAGGAAAATCTGTAATCTAAGGATGCAGAAAAATCTAAATATTGAGAAAATCACCTTTAAAGTTGTCCGACTGTCTGTTCCCCTTTCGGGCTCTGTCAGTGTCTTTACATTTATTTTGAAAGATGAAGCTTGCGATTATGGTAAGGGACGTTACATTTCCGACGAGTGCTTGTGGTGTAGTAAAAGTAAAAATGCACTGGGTCAGCTGGCCAATCAGAGCAGACTGTGCTTGTCGGAAGGAGGGACTTTGTAGAAAACGAAGCGTTTGAGAGAGGCGGGGCATAGAGGACCTACAATAATGTACAGTATTTGAAAAATAATGTGTTTTTTGAACATTAAAGCATGTCAACATTCTGTTACACCAAATAATGATCTTTAAAAAAAGCATCATATGACCCCTTTAAAGACCATTTTATGCCACTGAATATATAATCAATGTAACATGGCAAGAAGGCATACACACTTCCAAACGACAACAAACTTTTAATTTTTAAGAATATTTAGATCATGGAAATTATCAACATATTAGATACCTTAAAAAACCTGAATAAATAGTAAATAAACATTTCTAACAAAGAGTGCAAAGTAACAAGTTGAAAAAGAAAAATGCACAAACGATTTTTCCATCTACAGATGTTTCCCTGACCTTCTTTTCGCTGTAAATTAAGGGTGCGCACTATTGCTGAAAAACACAAGATTTCACTACTCAGCAGTCAGATGTCCGTATATGCACAAAGGCACAGATCCCTAAACAAGACCATATCTGCAGATGAAACTTTTTTTTGTAGAAGCATTTTTTAAATTTGAACTAGCACCTCGTGACTACACCACGCTATGTACGAGAAGCTGCAAAAGACACAGGCGTAAGTGGAATGTACAAAACACAGTGACATTCATTTTTAAGTAACTATAATGGGCGATATATTGTCACCAAAAATTATTGAGGTCATGTACATATACTGCGCGATAAGTCGATATATTGATTATTGCGACAGGCTTAGTTATTTCGATCTTTTGCTGTAGTGTGTCAGTAGGAAATATCAGTTTACTTTTCCAAACATTAATTTTGCCATTAATTGTAATAATCCAGTGAGATGGCAGCATCTCGCAGCAGCCAGGGCTCCACACAGAGATCTGATCATCATCCAGTCTGTCTGGAATGACATGAAGAAACAGACTAAATCCAGAAGAACTGTGGCAACGTCTCCAAGTTGCTTCAAGAGACCTCCCTGCAAAGCTCCCTGAAAAACTATGCGCAAGTGCTTTAAACACGAGGATTGTCACACCAAATGTTGATTTAATTTAGTTAGTTCATTGATAAAGAAAATGTACTTATAACATTATTTTTGACAGCATCCTCATTTTACAGCAGTGCCTAAAACTTTTAACAGTACTGCAGCTTTGCAGGTAGGTTTCTTGAAGCATCTTGGAGACGTTGCCACAGTTCTTCTGGATTGAGTCGGTCTCAGTTTGTTCCGTTTCTTCATGTCATTCCAGACAGACTGATGATGATCAGATCTCACCACCACTGTACATACATATACATTTATATATACACACACAGTGTTGTGAAAGTGTTGGCCCCCTTCCTGATTTCTTATTTTTTTGCATGTCACACTTTAATGTTTCAGATCACCAAACAAATTTAAATATTAGTAAAAGATAAGTGAACACAACATGCAGTTTTTAAATGAAGATTTTTATTATTAAGGGAAAACAAAAATCCAAAACTACATGGCCCTGTGTGAAAAAGTGTTTGCAGTGTTACTTTTACGCCAGACGTAATGGGACACACACCTTCCAAAAAGCTACTAGGTACCAAAACAAAAGAAAATAGAATGACAGACTATAAACACACAGCATAACTGCATGAAACCTGCAAAGGAGGACATGCAACAGCACATTGACACTTACATCAAAAAACATAGCATTCATATTCCTACTAGGTACCAAAACAAAAGAAAATAGAATGACAGACTATTAACCCCAGATAAACACACAGCATAACTGCATGAAACCTGCAAAGGAGGACATGCAACAGCACATTGACACTTACATCAAAAAACATAGGGTTGTAGACGGGAAGGGGCAGATCTACGTGACCAAAGTGGCCAGGGCAGCTGGTGTAGTCTTGCATGCAGGTGGAGCAGATCTCCTTGTTATCAGCTGGACCCAGCGCCAGGTCATACAGCCCGTTTGCAGCAGCATTGCCCACATTATCCAGCAGCTGGGAATTAGTGATACTTTTCACACTCAGCTTCCTGTGACACAGATAACACGGGGAAGCTGTCAGAAGGTCTATACATAAAGGAATTATTATATTAGGATTATTTAATACAGACATGTTGTGGCAAACTCTGTGACAACTTACCGCATTTAGTGCGACAGCATATGGGCCATGTTGCCACAAAGTTCAGCATGTGTTAAATAAACCGTATGCTTTTAATATGTATTAACCATTGGTGTCTTTACAGTAATACGCCAGTGAGCTCCGGCTAGTTCTTTAGCTGTGCTGGGTGTGAGTTGTGCAAGTGTATTATTATTATTATTCTTACCTTATTTCATCGGAGGAGAACAAACCAAACGACATGCCCTCTAATCGCCTCCATGGCGTTTCTTTTGAAAACAGCATTTTCTTAATAATAAATACATAAATTAGAAGAGAAAACTCTCTGTATTCCCCGCGTGCGTCCTGTGGAGCTGCGTAACACGTGGGAACGTGCTCTGAGCGAGCGGACGAAACCAAATAACACGCACAGGTACATTAGACTGGAATATGTTCAAAAGCGAGAGAAGTCAAGTTAGAGACATTGGCATTTAAAACAATCTCAGATAATAATTATCAGCTAGTATAATACCCTGAAAATGAATATTACACGGGGCCGTATGAGGAATAGTTTATTTATATTGTGTTTTGAGATGGTGCATCCCGACCGTGGAAAACGAATGGAAATCTAAATAAAAAAACTGAGTAAAAATAATAGTTTTTTTTTTTTTTTTTTTACTTCTTCAATTTTGTATTTGAATTCAATTAGTTATTAAGCTTTCTGCGTCATTATCTAGACATACATTATTGTCCAGACAATAATAAACAAGTAATGTGTAGACGGTTTGGTCACATGATACGTGTAACCTTTCTCAGCGCTAAACAGGATGGACCAATCACAGCTGGCTGTGGTGGTGCCGCGGAGATATCTGCTTTCAGCCGCTAAGCGCCTCTGTCATGGCGTCCTCCTGTTCTCTCAGGCATAATGTGTGTAAGAGCAGCAGAATATTGCGCATTCATCTGCAGAAGTCATGGCCTAATAGGTAAGATAAATGTACAAGGACCGGCTTATTTGGTCTGTTTTATCATAGAACATGTTCAGTCATTTTTTATGTTTGTAAAGAAACGACAGGTTGTCTCTAGGTCATTTGAAGGGGCTGTATGTGTCAGCTCAAGTTTAATCAGGCGCTCATTATGTGATTCTTTGATTACAGGAGTTTTGCTCTGAATTCTGCTGCAGATCAACAACCTGCCGTTTCTTCACCAGGTCTGATAATTATGTCTTTTTAATAGGAATTATCATATGCTTTCTTAAATTAAGATGCTTTCTAATTTTTTGTTTATTTTTCTTTATTATTATTATTATTTTTTTTTCAGAAGAAATAGTCATTCCAAGGAAGAAAACATGGTAAGTACTGGTCATATCTGAACAATTCACATGATCAATAAATATATAGTTCTAAAAGTATGAATTTAATATTTTTTTAATAATTTATGCATTAACAATTAATTTTTTACTGTCATCAGGAGCAAAGAGGCTGTCTTACAAGCTCTGGCATCCACTGTGAAAAGGGTATGTTCATCAGACAACACTTAACAACCATGTTAAAATACATTGTTATCAAATATGATGTAAGCATAGTTACTTGTTGTGTGCATGTGTTTGTTCTAGGATCCTACAGCCTCCGATTCCAGATTCCAGGATGATCCATATCTCACTCCAAAAACATCATCAGAGTTTGTGAGTTTTGGCTATCAAACCATTTAAGGTTTTCAATCCGCAGTGTTATGATGGCTGCGATTTTTAAAGGGGTCATATGATGCGATTTCAAGTTTTCCTTTATCTTTGGAGTGTGACAAGCTCTTGGTGCATAAAGAAGATCTGTAAAGTTGCAAAGACTAAAGTCTCAAATCCAAAGAGGTATTCTTTATAAAAGTTAAGACTTGTCCACGCCCTCCTAAAACGGCTCGTTCTAACACGCCCCCACATGTCTATGTCACTGTGTGGGAAGATTTGCATAACGCCGACCAAATGTTCACGCAAAGAAAGAAGGCGTAACTTTTATTCTCGCTGTAGTATTGTTGCCGCCGCCGCCATGTCGTGAAGGCGCTGTGTGCTTCGTTGCGAAAGCGAAACTACTTTGTTTGGTCTTCCAAAAGAGGACATAATGTTTCTATAAAGTGGGGCAGTTCCAACTTTGCAAGGACAGTCTGGCGCTTCTGACTCAAGTATGTTTTTTATATTTAAAGGATTTGTCACTGACGATTCAAACGCGCGTTTTGAGCAGTGTAGAGTAGCGCTTGTTTGTCATTTCTCCGATCACAAATGCAGACATGGTTTTATGTCTGCATTTGTGTAAAAAAATGCAGACATGTAAAAACACAGTATAAGTCATTATAATCAGTAATTATGTCCCCACTGGATGCAACAAATGCCTCGTTTGTAATGGGTTTCATTGGTTTTGTCTCGTTGCGCATGAAAACCATAGACAGTATGATGGAAACACAGTATGTGAGGGGCGTAACATTTCCGTCACACGCTTGAGGTATTCAGCCAATCACAAAGCACTGAATAGCTGCCCAATCACAGCACACCTCGCTTTTCAGACCGATGAGCTTTGTAAAAATAGACGC